GCCCTGAGTCCCCTCAGGGAAAAGGGCGGCATATAAATGCTCATTAAAATTCTAAAATTCTAAAAAAAAAATCTTTCTTCCCCTTGCCTATCCTTTGTCACTCTGAATTCTTGCAACCACTACATTTAGTGACTGGTCAAAGTTGCAGCTTCACTGAAAAAAGCGACTTATGACTGTTTTTCACACACATGACTGTTGCAGCATCCCCTCTGTTACGTGATCAAAATTCAAACACTTGGCAACTGACTCATATCTATGACAGTTGAAGTATCCAGGGGTCATGTGATCACTTTTTGTCACCTTCTGATAGTCCATGGGGAAACCAGATTCACTTAGCAATCATGTTACTAACTTAGCTGCACTGATTCACATAACAACTATGGCAAGAAAGGTCATAAAACGGGGCAAAATTCACTTACCAACAGTCTTGCTAAGCAACTGAATTCGGGGGCTCAATTGTGGTTGTAAGTCAAGGACTACTTGTATACCCAAACCCCCCTACCCACCCAATCTTCCCTGGGCATTCCTTCTGCTAATCTTCCCTTATGTTCCACTCTCACTATCTCCAACCATGGGGCATCTCTGCCAAATATAATGTACATGGTTTGGTCCATGCCTGGAAAAACCACGTCTATTTTGTTCTGGGTAGAGACCATTCAAAATTGTCTATGTTTAACCACTGTATTTTGGAACTGAACAAAGTAGGAAGAGAATGTTCCATAATACTATTTATTTCTTTAGTCCTTCCATGCAAAAAACCAGATTACAGGTAGAGATTTCCAGTGCTCCCTTTAAAATAGATGGGAAAATGAAAAGGCCGTTTTCTGAAGCTCAGAAACTGCCGTCTTTATACTTTACTTTATTCTACTCTATACTTTAAGCACCAAAAAACATGAGTAGTCTAGGTGAGCATAGGCAGTCATTTGGAACTGTTTGGTACATTTAGAATTTTGAGGACATGTGCCTGACTCTCTTGCAAATGGCTGCTGGGGGTGGAGAATTCCCATTTAGAAAAATGTTGCCTTGGTGTAAAGGGACACTCGTAAAACATCCTTTTACCAGTAGGTAAAATGCTTCCAGCCGCCTCTTTCCCTGTATCTTTTCTTCCTCATAATCTATACCCAGCTAATTTTTGGGCTGGTGGTGAGGGGGTTTATTTTAGGCTATAAAGATCCTGGGGTAATTTGAATAAAGATGATGCTAGGGGCTGGTATTTTGATTTGGAGAAGCCAATTTCCCATTTAATTTTTCCTTCTTATTAAAAATAAAAATTATGTGGCCTGGGAGCCCAGAAAGGGCCAAGGAAAATCTCCAGGGATTGCTATTCATTTGTGCCCTAAAGGCCTCATTGCATATGGCTTTGTTAAAATGCTTCCCTTCAGTCCATGAACTGGCAGAAAAGCATGCTGGTATATAAGTTATGCTGCCCTGATTTACCAAGTCCTGTTCTCTCTCAATGACATAGTTGGGAAAATAGTAGATTGCCACGTGAAACCCATTTATGACAGAAACAGTGGAACACTTGCAATACATTCATTGGTGGGAGAATCATTCTCTGTTTTCAGCTTAAATTTATCTGTGAAGTTCAGGAATAATACTGTCAAGGTTCCAAATAGCATCCAAAAGTAAATCAGAGTCCAAGGCAAAGTATTGCTCAAAGTTCCAATTTATTAAGAGAGCCATGTTGGCACATCTGGAATTCATACCTGAATCTGAAGGCTTCCTGATTTTCCCACCCAGTTGGAAGTTCAAGATCTTGCTCCCACACCCACAAGTCCATCACATGGTCCAATCTTCCATGCTGGCAGCTTCCACCCATCCAATTCTGGTCAGGTGCACAGTGCAGAGACAAACGATGACCTTGGCTTTCTAGAAAGAATTTTGTTATGGCTACATATCATCTACCGTATTTTTCAGAGTATAAGACACACCTTTTTCCCTCAAAAAAAGGCTGAAAATCTGGGTGCATCTTATACACTGAATACAGCATTTTTTGCCTCCCGAAACCCCGCCCTCGCCCCTATAGCTTTTAGGAGGCTTTCAGAGAGATCCTGGGGGCTGGGGAGGACAGAGGTGAGCCAGCCCCCAGGAGCACTCTATAAGCCTCCTAAAGGCTATTCATGCCCCTTTTTTTTACAAAAATCGGGCCCATTTTAGCAAAAAAAGGGTCATTTTGGGGAGGTTTGCAGAGTGCAAAAACTTTTTTTTTAAAATTGCCTCTTCAAAACCTTGGTGCGTCTTATATTCCAGTGTGTCTTATACTCCAAAAAAATAGGGTAATTCCATACCATCTGCCTTCCCATTTTCCCACAATAGAAAATGCATAGTAGAATAATAGAAAGTGTGGCAGGCCTGAGAGCCACAAGAAAATATGGCTGCAGGCCTAACAAGTACATGCTCAGAGTTCTACGCCTTTAAAAAAAAAAACCACGCTGAGTGCTTCTTCAAAAGCTTGCTAAATCCGTATATATTAGATACCTGTAAGATCTGGCATGTGCTTCAGAACAAAATGTTAAGTTTGTTCTTGAACAGATTCTTCTATAGAAGCCGCATGCGTGAGGGCAGGGGAGTGCAGGTGGTGGGGGTGATCGCACACGCATTGCATTATGGGTGTAGGAACACCCATGCGCTGTTGCACATGCGCACAATGCTTTTGGCACAAGATGACAAAAAGGTTAGCCATTACTGCCATAGAGTATAGTCAGTGCCTACATCTGGAGAGCAGGGGATATTCCTGCATCTGCCAAAAGTAGATAATAGAAACTGAGCAGATCTTGTCCACATCATCCACCTTATGGACAAGCTGTCCTGCATCATGTTCACAATAAAAACTGAATTGGGGGAAGATGGAAAACACTAATATTGGATCAGCTAAATATAAGCAGCCTTTAGTTTAGGATGAGATTCAGACAATGTGTTCAGGATATGTCATATAAACAGCTATTGTACAGGGGCACATTTTGCAGGCAGGAGAACATGAGGATGAGTCCAAAGTTAATCAAGTGTTAGAATCAGTATTGTTGGCATTTGAATGGAGAGGGGTGTTTTTCTTTTCTTCTGCAGATAAAGAAACTATCTTTTTTGCTGCCTCAAATAATCTCCCTTGTTGTAACTATGAAAGACGGGCTGAGAGGAACTGAGTATTTGGTGGGATGGGAAGATAAGGAATAAAACACAGGAAACACAGATGGAATCTTAAATAAGGCAGTTCAGCATTTAGATTGTTTTCACAAATAAGTATTGCTTACTTAGACTTTGGCAAGCATGGCAATTTATTGTTACAAAATAAAATAAGATAGTTATGTTCTTAGGTTGGCTGAGAGAAATAGATTGTGCAAGTCTGATTCATTAACTTTTGATTTATTAGGCACACTGTCCATGCACTGGAAAAGTCCTCACTAATTAATCTCATTCCTTAACAATGCTGGCCATGTAAATGTAAACATTTAGAGCTCAAGGAAAGAGAAGAATGGATTTGGTGTAGAATTGACAGTTGTGGCTCGGTAATAATGGAGAAGGATCTGGGAAGCCTGGAAAATGTCATTTCCTCCTGTTTAATGGTGAGCAGAAATGACCTTAGGAGAATATTGGCTCCTCTTACAAAGAGACACAGCCAAGGGAAGGTCACACTTGCAGGATTCTGTTAATGTAACTTTATGATAAAGTAAAGTTAGCTTGTCCAGCTGTGTTTCCTGTCTGGTCTACCTCAAAAGACTGACAGCCAGATCTTTATGAAGCTCTTCCCAAATGTATTCTGTGGTTAGTCTTTGCAGCAATCATTGCTGTAGCCAAAGTTCACTTTTCTGCAGAACTTGTTGAAAGTGTATTGGTTGGCTAACTGGTCTATGCAATTAAAACAATGCAACAAGTCAGCATGAGTTTATGTTTCTGTTACATTCACAAGACATCTCATCTGTACTTGATCCCCTAGTGCTGAAGAATTTGGAGTTACTATTTCTCTCTCCTGGGAGTAAATGGGTCATCAGCATCTAAGCCATAGCTACCAAGGAAAATGTGGATTTCAAGGCTTAAGGTCATGTGAGTGAGGAAGAGGAGCCAATTGTTTTCAGCCAGATGTGAACCTCTGCTTTTAGGCAAGCTGTGTACTATTTTCTTCCGTGCTCCATGAAAGCAGTTGCATAAAGAATCAAGTTATTTTCTTTAGCAATATGCTTCTTTTCTCTCTTTATATGTCAAATAAATGATGCATTATTCAAAAACAACATCTGCATGCATAGAATGAAAAGTATCATCTAAAAAACTCCACTCCTGCATGGATACTTTCCTATAAAAACACGAAAACACCTTTTGGTAGAATAGACGTCTCCCTTACTACAAAAAGATTGGCGATCAGGAATACTCAAGAGACAGTAAATACAATTTTGCTTTGAGATAAATGAACCAAGAAAAGTATTTTAACTGCTCTGAAAGCTTCCACAATAAGATTCTTAATGAACACTTCTCTTGCAGGTTTTTTTTTTGCCACTCTCTTTTTCTTTGTTTTTGTTGCTAAGATATGTCAATTGTTTCCTTTCAGATGCAGTTGGAATCATTTCTGGGTCAGTTTCTAGCGCCTCTACTGAAAGCACAACTTCACTGGATACCTTGTACACGGGTTCAACAGAGTCAGGTCTCCCTACTGCTACACCCAGCCCCAACAATACTCCTCCCCCTGTTCCTAGCAGAGGGGCCCTCACCATGGCATCCTCTAGCTTAGAAATTAGTCCTGTAATGCAAAGAAAGCATGGGAGTGCCAGCAAATCCCCCCAAACCAAAAGGGCTGCTCCACAACCTCCTGCCCAAATGGAAGTTCCTGATGCAGGTGGTGAAAAGACCTTAGAAGCAAAGAAGACCACACCAGCCACATCTACAGGGGTGGAAAACTTTGATTCTCTTTGCCTAGAAGATGACAAGGCAGCCGATACAGAGGAGGTGGAGCAAGAATCATCTGGTCTAGTAACCACCGTGCCAAAGACGATAGGGGCTGAGTTGATTGAGTTGGTCCGCAGGAACACAAATCTCAGCTATGAGCTCTCCAGAGTTGCCATAGGGGTAGTAATTGGGCATATTCAGACTTCTGTTCCAGCCCTCAATAGCATCATGGAGCAGATTCTCATCTCACTGGTGGAAAGCAAGGTAGGGGAGATGTTTCTTTTCACCTCCATAAAATATATATTAAGGCAGCATTCCCCAACCTTTCCAGGGGGATAGAGGGGATGGTTCCAAGTGAGCAGCAGGTAAGTATGCACACATGCCCATACACACACACACACACACACACACACCACTCATACAAATGGAGCTGCGCATGTCCGTGTGCTCGCCCGCCTCTTCCATGGCCCAATTAAAATTTTGAATTGTAAGCCAAGTCCTAAACTGAGATTGGGGGGCGGGGTGTAGAAATTGAATGAATGTATAAATAAATAAAGCAGCACCAACTTGGATGGTTTAGGAATTGCTCTGCAACTTGGAAAGAGATACAAATGTGTTGCTTAGGGGGGGGAAAGCCTGGAAAATATGATATTGTAGACCTCGAAAATATGGCTCCTGATATGTAGTTTTCTGCTTTTTTTGTATGCTCACTATTCTAAAGAAAGAAAAGTGGCATTTTTCCTAGCATAAGGAATATTTTGGTGACCTTAATATGTGAATCCATATTATACTCTGGAGAAAGTTTCTGTTTTGTTTTGCTTTCCTCAGCTGATATGAAATGAGCTGAAAAAGATTGTTACTAAATGGTTTGGGGAAGAGAAAAGGTACTCTGGTTTTTGTTTTGCAGGAAGAGGAACAAGGAAGTGATAATAAAAGAAGACCTTCAGTGCTTAAGGGGATTATGGAGACTGTTAACTCACTATATAAGACATTATATAGTGCCTATAATCTCTGTGAAGCTTTATATGTCAAGGCTGTATCAAAAATGGAGACACTCCTTTCTTTAGCCAACACTCTGCCTCACATCTGACCAACTCAACAGAAATGACAGGGCCTTTACACCTTTAGTTGTTATGGTTTTCATTTATGTTCGAATAAAAATGTTGCTCTACTTTACATTGAATTCAGGCTCAATCCTGGATTATGTACATGGTTTGCAATAGTGGCGAATATGGTTTTGTATATGGTGCTGTTCTAAGTTGCCTGTAGAAGCACAGTAGTTACCATACTATGAGATATCTTTCATAATTGCATCATTGATCAGGGCTTAGCTGTGTTGTATGATCACAAAGGCTTCAATGGTGCCAGTTCATAGTCAGGAAGATCCTCTGATTTTTAAATAGCAAATAGAAAACAAGATTTGAATGAAGCAAACTTTTGAGATTGGCCAGAGGATTTTTTTAAATTTTTTTTACAAATTCATGCAATCTGTGGATAGTCATCCTGGAATACTTTTCCCTTACAGGTAAGTTAAATCTGCCCCTGGGCAGAATGGAAGCCAAAATGTATCTATTTTTCCCCCCAAGTGAAATAAGAGATCATCATTGATTAAAGCTTTTCTCTGCTCTGAACTAAATCTCTCACCTTATGTTGGAGAATCATATTATATTCTTTAATTACTTGTATCCCTTTATTCTGTCCTCCTACTTTAAATTAAAAGTCAAAGCACTACTTTACTAAATCAATTTTAAAATCCATTACTACAGACTTATTCCCAGTGTGCTCTTTTGAAGGATGAATTGCTCGAGATTTGCCTGGTGGTTCTGTGCATGCATTAGAAAGATAAAAGGGGACAAAATACATTCCAATCTCTAATGCTGTGTGTAGCCTGCTAGGATACCCGAGCATACACTCTGTAGTGAAATTATTACTTCTACTTCTCTGATTTACATACATTACCTTAAATGCAGCAGGGATGGAGATGAGCTAGCCCAGATAGTTCGAGATCATTCTTAATGTTTGGCAAGAATATAGGGTCAAAATTCCAGCTTTCCCCAGTGTTTTGGGCTTCTATTTATCGCCTTCATTGATTTTTACAGTAACATTTTAGTTCAAGTGGCTGATGTAAGGCAAATAGCATTCCACATTATGACCAGGGGCTAAAAGCCTAATAACACGTGGAATAAATTATTGGGGTCGTAAAGCCATGGAACAGGTGTCATTGTGTGCCTGTCCTCCTGCTGCCACACATTTCATATTACCATAGAAATATGGCAGATAGGTAAGCAGGCATCTCTCATCAACCAATAGCTAAACATACACTATATTGCCAAAAGTATTCGCTCACCTGCCTTTACTCGCATATGAACTTATATTGGCTCCCAATAGATGTTCAGGTGCAATTCAAGTTTCCTGGTTATTGCCTTTAAAGCTTTAGATACATAGAACCGAGCTATTTGCAGGACTACCTGCTCCTCTCAACCTCTGCTTGCCCCATGCATTCCCATATGGACATGCTGCCTGTTCCAGATCTCTGCTAACTGATGTCTAATGGATGCTGTTCCAAATTCTCTACCCAATATTCATATTAATACAGAACAGATAAATGAAAATCAGTCTGATAAAATCCAGACTAACTATAATTAGCACAAAGAGTAATGAAAAAAGTCAATGTGGAGAAGTCACATTGTATCTGATATGCATCTGTAGGATAATAAAAATGAATGAAGCATGGAGTAGACTAAGGAAATATCTAGCCACATTATGGGCACTAATGCAGTGTCAGTAACTCAACAATGAAGCCAAAGGGGGAAAAATACTAACAGTCGGGAAGACATAATCACAGGTTAAATACTGTAAGTTCATATGCGAGTAAGGCAGGTGAGCAAATGCTTTTGGCAATATAGTGTACCAAGGGTGCATCCATCCCTCATTTAAATTATCCCTTTTACAGCTGCATGCAATGCTTAGCATTGGTGTGTACTGTATCTAATACATATTTGGAAGTAAGATGGAAATGTATATACAGAAACTAGTATTTGTTGAATGTTTGAATGGAGTTTGAAATGTTCACCCCTCTAATTTCATGTTAATCCTTTTGCCTCCTCTTTCCTAAGTTTAGTCATTTGTTCCTCTGTATAATTCCAACAGTCCCTTTGCTTGCAGTTTCTGTTGCCTTCTTCATCTCAGAAAAGTTGGTTGCTATCCAGACTGGCATGGAAGGCAGAGCCAAGATTTGACTTAAGCCCAGTAGACTTTGCTTTCCTTTAACACTTGGAATTTACTTGCTATGATCTCAGCAGGGGAATAAATTATGCAGCAGTTGCATCAAAACTCTCCTTTGAGAAAGTCTTTAATGTTCTATTTCTATGCAATATTTAGATTTATGAGTTTGGTGTGGAGCTGAATGGAAAGTCATAATAATACAGTGTAGGCAGACTTTCCTTATTATAGGTCATGCACTATTCTGTGCACATGAAATATTCCTGCTAGAATGCTTTTGAGCATCACTGCCTGTTTGGAAGGAAAACAAACAGACCTGGAACTGAACAAGTAACATGTTAAGAGGTACCTGTTACAGGTTGCCACTCTAAATAAGGATGGTTGTCAGGGCTGCCACATTTGAAACAGAAGCAATAAACATTTGGGCTTAGTAATCATTAATACCCAATTGAACTTCTCTTACCTGCAGATACTTTGTCGTTCAAGGAAGTGGGGGGGGGGGAGAGAACTGTATGTATTTGTAAGTCATAGATATAGGATTGCAATGAACCAAGAGTGATTATTGCCCAATAAATCTGGGGAAAAGTTTGATTGCTAGCCCCAAAGATGGTAGAAAGGCTTGAAAATCAAGAAAGCATAGTAAGGTGGCAGGGAAGGAGGGTCACATTCTTTCACATTTTGCTGCTTTCTGTAAGCATTTCAGTGGTGGGATTCAAAAAATTCTGTGTGTTCTGTGGGCGTGGCTTGGTTGGCGTGGTGTGGCACGGTGGGCGTGGCATGGAGTGGGGTGAGAAGAATACTGTAAAATTTCCAATCCCACCCCACTCCAGGGGAAGGTTACTACAAAATCCCCATTTCCTCTCGATCAGCTGGGACTTGGGAGGCAGGGAATAGATGGGGACGGGATCAGTCAGAGGTGGTATTTACTGGTTCTCCGAACTACTCAAAATTTCCACTATCGGTTCTCCAGAACTGGTCAGAACCTGCTGAATACCACCTCAGAAGCATTTGCAACATTGTTCTGTGTAGCATATCTGCTACTCAGTAATAGTTGTAATTCCAGAGGTAGATGAGAAAGATCCTGTAATTACTCCATCCTGTTTGCATAAAATTTTCAAAGAAATGACCTTAGAGAGAAGCTCAGTAAATTAAGTCTCTGTCTATCTGTTTTGGCACTATTAAACTGTGCTACAGGCTTGAGGTTGGAATGAGATGAAGACACTTTTTCTTACTTTAATCATACACATTGGTAATGTGGTGTCAGCAGAGAGGGAGAAAGAAGTAAATTATATGGTGCCCATTCTTAATTCCTCTTGTTGGAAGTGACTCCAGTTGTTGTATGTACCTTCCTAAATAGTTGTAAATGGATGCTCGTATTTAAAATGGTCCTTAGCCTTCTGGAATGATGTGGAAGAAGATCGAGAAAAACATGTAGAAAAACTTCTGCAGGAATACAGCCAACTTGGCACAATGGAAGAAGCATTCCATCTGTTAGTACTGAAAATGAAAAGAGAGAACGTTCCCTAAATAATCATATTTTCAGGGGGAGTAAATAAGATGGATTGTTTCCAGTGTATTGTTTTCCCCTCCAAATGAAAAATGTCATACCCAAAATTGCTGAAGACAGATCTTGGTTTTACCTGTTATTATGGTTTGTCAGCCAGATGTTCACACTGGATTTGGCATTTTTGTCGACCTATTGACTCCTTTCCAAGCACCTGGGATAAGCAGATGTGAATGTTTGATGGTGTTAGACGTATTGTCACAGAATGTAAAATGTTTCTAGTAAAGCTATCTTTTGTAATTGATTGGTGGTGAATTTGTCAATGCCAATGGTGTTCAAGTTGTTTTGGGATTGCACCCAAGGCCATCTGCCTATTACTATTGGTCATACCTTTGCTTTCTTTTGCCACAGTTCTATTTCTATTTGCAGGTTGTTTTATTTTGTTACCTTCTCCAGTCCTCTATCCAGACTTTTTTTGTCATTCTTATAAACAGTTGTTAAGTCTTGTGTGGCAGGGGTGTGTCTGTTTGAAGTCTAA